CACACACACACACACATAGTATATCATGAGAAGGAGAAAAGAGTCATATTGGATTGAAGGGAATTGCAAATTAGAATGTGAGGGAGAAAGGTCAAAATAAAGTGAATGAAGTTAAGTCTTTGGAACTGTGATTTAAGTTCTCCCTCCCCTGCCTGTTCCCTTTCTCCCTACACTTCCTCCCCTTGGCCCGTCTATTCAATAATTTTAAAACCTTAATCTCTGTCACCCCAACCCTACTCCGGTCCACACACATACTTCACTTGGTCTCTCCGCCACCATTTTCCCCTGTAATCTCTCTTCCCTCCATCATCTTCTCTGAGGGGATGATCCTCTGAGGTCACCCTGGCTTGGAGGCTCCCCAGGGCACCCGTACAAGTGGCATACTCCATGAGGATTCTCCCCCTCAGCAGAGCTCCTGATAGAGCAGACTCCACTGCTTCACTGCTACGTCAGAAGGGTTAAAGGGAAGGTTGGGGGGAAGAAAATTGAAAGAGCAATATTTGAAAGAATAGATGAATAAATGAATGGAGGCAGAGGGGTATAAAGAACCCACAGAGACATTTAATGGAAGCACCAATTTTACTCCCATCAGTTCATTCCTCCGTACGCTTGCTTCCCAGAATCAGCACTACGGAGAATTCTCCTAATTTCTCTCACTGTAATTTATTTGATATATGACATACTCTAAGCCAGTACAAAATAACCTTTCATTTTACAGCTGTGCTTATTGCATCAACGTATAAAGCAGTTTATGTCATAGATATATATGCTAATGCTGGAAAAGATTGCCTCTGAATTTACATCTGAAATTCCCAGATGTACTGAAACAGTATGAAGGAGGCATCGAGACGGAATTGAATAGAAATGAGTTTTTGTGTTAAACAGCCCGTCTGTAACTGGTCAAAATTGCCAACTACAAACCTTCACACCGTTTGCACCTTAAAAAGAAGGTTATCCCACAAATGGCTTTTCCAGAAAGTCTCACACACACACACACACATTAAAATTAGAGGGAGGCTGGTTGAAATTGAACACTACATAGCCAAAAGTACTTTCTGTACTTTGGTCTGGGGCTATTTTTCATAGTTTGGGCTTAGACTCCTAATTCTTATTCAGGGAAATTGTAATGCTACACACAGAATAGCATTTCACACGATGTCCACACCAAGCCATCTAATTCTCATTTATAGATTAAGTTTCACTTGTCAGACAATGGAACAGGCATGAAATAAGGATGTGATTGCGACTCTTAAATATTCCCTACTAATCAGACAGCTATTCTTAGGCTGCTGGGTTGCAGTGCTGATCATCATTTTATGACCACGACATTGTCTGACAAACATATAGAACATATATAGAAGATAATATCAATAGTTGTGCTGTGAAACATAAAAGCCACAAAAGATTGTCAAACACATCTTCTTTCTATGACTTGAGGCAGGCTAACGTCATCGTTTTGTAAAAGCTCCGACGTACAACACGTTTTCCTGCAGATGTTTGCAGAGGTGTTTTCATATATCTTTGGAAATCATAATTCCAACGTCCGTCAACGCAGATTTGGCAAATTTCCAGTAAATCAGAAAAAGCAAAGCAAATCAATGTGCATCAACTGCTGTTAGCTTAGATGGCAGCTTAACACAAAGAGAACAATATTTTGAATATAGATGGCTTAATGTGATTGTAGACAGCTGTGCGGTCCCAACTTTGTGGCATGACTTGATGTAAAAATGTCTGTGTTTGTTGTGTTTTTGTCTTTAAGGGCCATCATCAATCATTTTAACCCCAAAATTGAGTCGTACGCTGCGGTGAACCACATCTCTCAGCTCTCTGAAGAACAGGTAAACACAACACACTTTCCCTCTTTTTACTCTCTCACTAAAGTTGCTTCTAAATAAAAATGAGCTTCAGCAACATCTTGGGGCCATTTGGGCTGAACTCCACTGAAACATCACTCTTGTCATTTCAAAAGTAAATCTTGATGAATTTTTTAGTACACAATGGAAAACACTCAGTGCTTTGGAGAGTTTGGGAAGGGGTTCACCGCATTTTATTTTGATAGAATGTCTATTCATCAAGAAGTAGTTACAGCTGACTGGCAGAGATAGATGACTCAGACATCGCTTATTGTGATGAGACACCTAGAAGAGCAGTTGTTATCACACACCACTGAGTTTAAAACTCATCATGGCTGATTCACTGCACACAGTTCAGGCAGGTGGGAGGACCCTGTACACAACAAATATGAAGCTTTTTACACTGTCTATGACAAATGGTGATACACATTTAAGGTGCTGTCACTTTTGGGCACACTGAAATGCCAACAACTTTCATAGTTTTCTCCTACATACACAGTATTTAACTGTTACAGTATTTTTAAAGGAAACATCTCTTTGAATTATTCGGATTATAGATTTATTTGTGTGTGTATATATTTTAAAGTACAGTAAAAAGTGCTGTTTCTCTGATGTCTGCACCAATTCATCCACAAAAGAGTCCCACTCAAACACACACACAGAAACACAGGGTGAGAATTAAGTCATTAAGCAACTGGATAACCTCTGAAATGTTGAGTTATTCCTTCATCATTAATGAACGGCTTGAGTCTGGAAGGAGGCTGAGCTTCACCGATACGAGCTCGTTATAAAACCTTTTCATTTGTCGAACCAGTGAGGAAAGGAAAACAGCCGGAAGACTGTTTTATTTTTTTATTTTTTTTTACAAGCTGATAAAAGAGTGATGGATTTGTTCATTATATTCTTCAATTACCTCTCTGATTTTATCTGCTGATTTATTCACACAAAGAGGGAAGACAGAAGTTAGCTTTGGTGTCAATGAGCTGCCAGTGGTTTTCTATGATTTTCCACTAACAACAATTCGCAAGTGCAAATTATTCTGGGAACTCTGAGTAACTTTTTGATTTCCAAGGGCCGTTATCAGTGAGTGCAGACAAAAATACACCTGGTCGCAATTGGATAGACCTAAAACCAATCAGAGCAACGTAACGTGATGTAGACTAGTTGGTAAATTAGACTCACAAATCCAGTCGGAAGTACGGCAAAGTCCAGTATTGCTGGTTGACCTATATGGGTTTTTCAATGGTCAATGCGATGCAAAGGAAAGTTATGTATAAATCCATTATTCCATGCACATTAGTCTAATATATGGTTGTTTTAGAAGGAATGTTTATTAATTAATGAGATAGAATAATAGATTTGAGTTATGTAGTTGATTTCAGCAGGATTCATTGAGGGTTATAGGATTCAAGGATTCATGGTTTAAGGTTTTTAACAAAATTAGCTATTGGAGTTTTTGTAAAGGGTCTCGTCTGAGGTGGTGTGAAAAATGGCTTATTGTACTGAACTATGCGTTTAATTATTTGATGTTATTGGAACATGCCTGCTGTATTGTGATCTATAGAGAAACACTGATTAACGTATTGATGATGATTTGAATGAGATACGTCAGTTGGCTAAAACATGCTTTGTTTCCTATCACTCAGTGTTGTTGTGAGTGAGCTTGGAAAAAACCCAAAACAGTAGTTTAAATGAAGATATCCACACTGACAGAGTGCTTCAGTAAGAGGCTGGAGAGGTTGTCTAGACACTGTCCAAACCATCTGACACAACCTTTTCACACTGGCTCTCCTCTCTCTATACAAAATATTATAAGAGGTCATCAGTGAAAAGCTGTGATGCAGATAATATTTTTTATAGCTGAGCTATTTATTTTAAATGGATTGTTATTGCAAATTGTACTGTATAATTAGTTTACTGCTGTTAAATTATGTCAAAAAAAAAAAAAAATATCTATATGACTTAGACAAAGCCTTGATCAGAACATCTGTTATGTGACGGACGTATTATTATATATTATTACGTATTAAGGGTTTAAAAACAGATATTGATATTTCTATTAAAAAAATATTATTATAGAATAGGGCTTCACAATTAATTGCAGTATTATCCAAATCACAATATGGCCAAGGGCAATGTCCAAATTGCGAGAAGCTGCGATTTTTTTGCTAAAGGTAAATGGACCTGTACTTG